GAAAGACTCGGCAGGCCCAAACGTGTAGTGAGGGTCTGCTGGGAACGTCTGGTGGAGCCCTCGGTCAGAGACGTGTTCAACTCCCACCTCCGGGAGAGCTTCTCTCAGGTTCCGAGGGAGGTTGGAGACATGGAGTCCGAATGGGCTGTGTTCTCTGCCTCTATTGTCGATGCGGCTGCCCGTAGCTGTGGCCGTAAGGTTTGCGGTGCCTGTCGTGGTGGCAATCCCCGAACCCGGTGGTGGACACCGATAGTAAGGGATGCCGTCAAGCTGAAGAAGGAGTCCTATCAAGCCTGGCTGGCTTGTGGGACTTCTGAAGCAGCAAGCAGGTACCGTGAGGCCAAGCGTGTCGCGGCCCGGGCGGTTGCAGAGGCAAAATCTCGGGCCTGGGAGGAGTTTGGAGAGGCCATGGAAAAAGACTATCGGTTGGCCTCAAAGCGATTCTGGCAAACCATCCGGCGCCTCCGGAGGGGAAAGCAGTGCTTCACTAACACTGTTTTTAGTGGGTGTGGGGAGCTGCTGACCTTGAAGGAGGATATTGTCGGGCGGTGGAAGGAATACTTTGAGGATCTCCTCAACCCGACAGACATGCCTTCCGTGGGGGAAGAAGAGACGAGGTGCTTGGGGCTGGGTTCGTCCATCACCCAGGCTGAAGTCACCGAGGTAGTCAAAAAACTCCACGGTGGCAAGGCTTCGGGGGTGGACGAGATCCGACCTGAGTATCTCAGAGCTCTGGATGTTGTCGGGCTGTCATGGTTGACACGTCTTTTCAACATCGCGTGGAGGTCGGGGACAGTTCCCCTGGATTGGCAGACTGGGGTGGTGGTTCCCCTCCACAAGAAGGGGGACCGGAGGGTGTGTTCCAACTATCGGGGAATCACACTTCTCAGCCTCCCCGGAAAGGCCTATGCCAGGGTGCTGGAGAGGAGAGTCCGGCTGATTGTCGAACCTCGGCTGCAGGAGGAGCAGTGTGGTTTTCGTCCTGGCCGTGGAATGGTGGACCAGCTCTACACCCTCTGTAGGGTGCTTGAGGGTTCATGGGAGTTTGCCCAACCAGTCCACATGTGTTTTGTGGACTTGGAGAAGGCATTCGACCGTGTCCCTCGTGCTGCCCTGTGGGGGGTGCTCCAGGAGTATGGAGTCAGGGGCCCTTTATTAGGGGCCATCCGTTCTCTGTACAAGCGGAGCAGGAGTCTGGTTCGCATTGCCGGCATTAAGTCGGACCTGTTCCCGGTGCATGTTGGACTCCGACAGGGCTGCCCTCTGTCACCGGTCCTGTTCATAACTTTTATGGACAGGATTTCTAGGTGCAGCCAAGGACCGGAGGGGGTCTGGTTTGGGGAACAGCGGATCTCGTCCCTGCTTTTTGCGGATGACGTAGTTCTGCTGGCTCCCTCCTGCCAAGACCTACAGCGTGCGCTGGGGCGGTTCGCAGCCGAGTGTGAAGCGGCCGGGATGAGAATCAGCTCCTCCAAATCCGAGGCCATGGTTCTCGACCGGAAAAAGGTGGCTTGTCCCCTTCGGGTTGGAGGGGAGTCCTTGCCTCAAGTGGAGGAGTTCAAGTATCTTGGAGTCCTGTTCACGAGTGAGGGAAGAATGGAGCGGGAGATCGATAGACGGATCGGTGCGGCTGCTGCAATAATGCGGACGCTGCACCGGTCTGTCCTGGTGAAGAGAGAGCTGAGCGAAAAGGCAAAGCTCTCAATTTACCGGTCGGTCTACGTTCCTACCCTCACCTATGGTCATGAAATTTGGATCATGACCGAAAGAACGAGATCCCGGATACAAGCGGCTGAAATGAGCTTTCTCCGCAGGGTGGCTGGGCTCTCCCTTAGAGATAGGGTGAGGAGCTCGGTCATTCGGGAGAGGCTCAGTGTAGAGCCGGTTCTCCTCCACATCGAGAGGAGTCAGTTGAGGTGGCTCGGACATCTTCTTCGGATGCCCCCTGGACGCCTCCCTCGGGAGGTGTTCCAGGCATGTCCCACCGGGAGGAGGCCCAGGGGACGACCCAGGACACGCTGGAGAGACTATGTCTCTCGGCTGGCCTGGGAGCGCCTAGGGCTTCCCCCAACAGAGCTGGAGGAGGTGTCTGCGGAGAGGGAAGTCTGGGAGTCTCTGCTTAGCCTGCTGCCCCCGCGACCCGGTTCCGGATAAAGCGGGAGACGACGAGTACGAGACGAGTACGAGTACACTTAATTTAGGAAACGCTTAATTATTTCTAGATCATTTTTGCTGTGAGCTGCTCTGCAAAGACCATTAGGACTCTCGAGCTGACACCCTCCAGATCTCCTGCCTTTTTTTGATTCAGTCTCTCCCCTTACACACAGGTAACCTGACAACAGCCAGATGCATGTCTTGCAAGGAAGCCAGAGTACCTGAGGAGGAGCCACACAGGCCAGGGGTTGAACCAAGGACCTTCTAACAACAGTCAACAATGCAACAAACTGTTCCCCTAAGCAGCCCAAACCATTATTTGGAAATTTCTCAGAATAATGATAGAAATGAAAAAAAATAAAAAATAAAAAATAAATATATATATATATATATATATATATATATATATATATATATATATATATATATATATATATATATATATATATATATATATATATATATATATATATATATGCACTTTTTAGATCTCACCATTTAACTAAAATTTAAGTTGCTTTTTTTTATGTAAAAATGGCAACCATGAATTCTTAGAGATGTCATTTACATAGATGAGAAAAGAGGCTCACATATTTCACTGACAGAAGACAGTAAAATTTGATTCATTTTTTTAATATAAGATATTATAATTATCTGCTTCATTTTATTAGAATGAAGGATTCTGCAACCCAGAATTTTCCCTCTTTCTGTCTCACCTGAATTCTGGGTAAGACGAGACAGAAAGAGGGAAAAAATCTTATTGTTTTATAAAAATAAACCAGCAATGATTCAAGCCTTGTGAGAAGGCTTTAGAATCTTTTTTTTATCTTGAGGTATTTGAAATTAGGTCAAAGTAGCATAAAGATATCAAAAAATTGTCTATGTTTTGAAACTAAATAACAGCGATAAAATAATATTTTAAAGCAGGATTTACCACAACAGACATTAATTAGGCTTTAGACAGTTGATTCCTAGTACTGTTGATTAGCTTTTTGAATGGTCAATTTAAGTCATTGACTTTTAAAATTATGGAGAGCATTTACAAAAATAGCATAGTTTATTTAATCCTTTATGGGGGCAAGTTGCAGTTGCATACCCCTTACATATGCATACTTATACATTATTAACTGAAAATTGAAAAAGAGTTAGGAAGTTAAGAAAAAAAAAGTAAAAACTAATAAAAAGTTAAGTAAAAAAGTTAATAAGCTAAGTTAAAAAAAAATGAAAGAGCCTTTAACAGCGTTATGGTTCTATGGTTATGTTGTAACAAAAAAAAAATGTTTCTTTCAGTCTGAGTGTTTTTCACAAATTTCTTATAGATGCACTTTTTTTTTTCTTAATAAAAGGGCAAGTGGCCATTTCTTATTGTTAAATTGACCCTAATTGTTGCCATAAAAATATAAATATTTTTTTGTGAATCTTACAAAAGTAATAAGCTCATTTCCCGTCCTCCAATAACACTGCTGGCTTGAAATTTTGTTTTTCAAAGTATTTTACTGAGAGCCCTATAAAGGGTTAACACTGGTGAAGGCAAAAACATCAGTCAAAGCTTCAGGTGTTCTACTGTGTCATCTAGTGGACAAAAAATGCAAAACAAGTAGAGGGGTTAGAATTATACAATTTGGACATGTAAAGATTTAGATTTATAAAACAGTTAAATTGTAGCTGTTATTACTTATTCCTTACAATGGCTAGATTAAAGGAAAATTGAACCAAATCAGGGCAGATGTGTTTGAGATTTCAATTTGCCTCTGTTACTTTTTTAATAGGCCTATGATTAAGACTTTGTAAATCTCTTTATTGTCCCACAATGGGGAAATTAATTCTCCGCATTTTGACCAATCCCCTTGGGGAGCAGTGGGCTGCCATTGTGTGGCGGCCGGGGAGCAGTGTGGGAGTTAAGGGTTTTGCTCAGGAACCCAGAGTGCAGGCTGTGGGGATCAAACTGGACACTTGCAACCTTCTCAGAGCACTTCTCAAACCCACTAGGCCAACACTCTCACAATGAATATAAGCAAGAAAAAGATGGAGTAAATAAAAGGTATCAGATCAATTCAATACAATGGGAATTATTTAAAAATAATAAGGTGATAGCTTTAGTGGGGTTGAGATAGGATCCCAGTTTTCATCTGTTATTTTTATTTTTTCAAAACAAATAATAAAAGAATACTCTAATTTTTACAGCTGAATTTTTCTTAATTAAACTTATTTGACTTAAATCAATTCAAAAATAAGTTAAATTTCTAAATTGTGAATGTATATTGACCTAATGAGACATAGAATTGCAATTAAACCTAATTGAATAGAAATTTCACTTCATGCAGCTATCTATATATGTTTGAATCCCTTGCCCAATTTTTTTATTTCTGGCTTTCTCTTACCCCATGAAAACATTCTTGCCCCCTCCTGGCCCCCTGGGAAATTTGGTGTAGAACCGCCCTCATAAAACACGTAAGTAATTTAAGACAGAAAGAAATTAAGGAAACTCTTTTCGAGGTACCCAGATATCTAGCTTGAAATTTTCTGTTTATTAGAAAATAAAAAATAAATAAATAATTAATAAATAAATACAATAAAATAAATTTACAAAAAATAAAATAAATAAATAAAAGAAAATAAAATTAAAATTACGTTTAGGAAAATGGATGTGAAGTTTTCAAGAAAACGTTTCACCTCTCGTCAGAGAGGTTTCTGCAGTTCTAGTGGTGGAGAGCATTTAGATTACAGATGTTTAAGATGTCTGATTAAAAATCAACATATTGAAAAAGTTTCTGGAGTCCTACATTTCCCATGTTCCCTTTCGTTGGAGTTTTGCGGCTGCGCAATATCATTTGAAAACTTGCACGGTAAGGGACGCTTTGGAGGGGAAGGGCTCCTCAACTAAACGTGTGGACCTGGGGAGGAACGTTGGTCGTTTGGTGCATGGCGCGTGTTTTGAAGCTGCTCTGCTTGTGGAGAAATGTCCTGGGCCGTGAGTAGTGAGGAAACAGGAAGCGATTCTTGTGGGATGGAAGAGGGAAATAGTGACAATGAAGGTTGGAAGATAGCAGCATCAAAAAATGAGAAAAAGCGGAAAAAACAGAGATCAGTTAAAGGGGAATCTAGTTCAGAACAATCCAGTGATGATCAATCCATACATTCCACAGCACAACAAAATGAATTCAAAGTCATATTCAAAGTCGTTAATCAGGCAGACTCTTTTACAAACTGGAATCCGGTTCACTTAACAAAAACCATCAATAAACTTGTTGGAGAAGTCAGAGGTGCCAGAATTCTGTACAGTGGAGACCTGCTAATTAACTGCAGAGACAGCGCCCAGCAAGGCAAAGCAATACGTATTAACAAAATTGACGGGATAAGAGTTCAGTGCAGCCTAATGGAGAACAAAAAGATCAGCAGGGGAGTCATTGGAGGAGTTCCTCTGAAAATTTCTGAAAAAGAGATTCTGGAAAACATAAGCGGTGCAAAAGTAAAAGAAGTAAAACGGTTAAAAACAACAAGAAACGGAGAAAGATCTGACAGTTTATCTGTACTAATTAAATTCGAGGAAGAGCAATTACCAAGCAAAGTATTCATCGGTTACATCAGTTACAATGTCAAAATCTACAATCCACCACCATTGAGATGTTTCAAATGTCAAAAATTCGGACACATTGCAGCAGTTTGTAAAGGGAAACAGAGGTGTGGAAGGTGTGCAGGAGAACATGAATATGGTAAATGTGGAAAAGAAGCTAAAATAAAATGCTGTAATTGTGGTGGAGAACATACTGCTGCTTATCGCGGCTGTGAAGCAAGCAAAAGGTCTGAAGAAATAAAAAAAATGAAATTTGAGCTTGGAATAACTTATGCTGAAGCTGCAAAAAGGATCCCATCTCAGTCAGAAAAACCCAAACCTACAGTTCAACACACGGCAAATTTCAAACCTCTAGAGAAATCTCCAAAAATTGATGAAGACTCACTAATTGTTAAAAAGACAAATTTTGTTCTTTTCATGGTGGAAGTGATTAATTGTACTGCTCAGACGACAAAAAAAACAGAAAAAATCAAAATAATAGTGAAGGCTGCAGAAAAATATCTGGATGTTAAAGATATGAACTGGGAGATGGTTGGAAGCATGATGGAAAGACCAATGGGACCATCAGAAACTGGCAGAGGTACGATGACCTAGAGTAAATTAAAATTATACGGGCAAATGTAATTTAGTATAATTTAGTATTATGTGGGTTTAAGTTACACAGGTTATTTTATTGTATTTTTTTTTTTTTTTTTTTTTTTTTTTTTTTTTTTTGGGGGGGGTGAATCGTTTCCTGTTTCCTTGCTTTACTCCATATCAGTTGGTGGCGGTAATGCACATTTCACAAGTTTGCCAACCGCCATAAAATCTCATAAGAAGAAGAAGAAGAAGACGCTTTGGAGGAGAAAGGCAAGGCGGACTGCGAGCTAAACACAATGGCGACGACGGCGACAGCGGCAGGCGGGACGGGCTCAGGCGGATCAGCCTCGGGGCCTGCTGGTGGTGGAAGCTCAGTAGCACGAAAGAAAGACGGCGGCCCTTCTACGAAATTTTGGGAAAGTTCAGAAACTATTTCTCAGCTGGAGACAGTGCGACTCTGGATCGGAAAGCACTACAAGAAGGTAAGCTAGCTGCTATCCTGCTCCATTGATTTCTATGAAGGCCGCGTCTCGTTGGCACAATGGGGCGATGCTACGTCCTCTATATTTAGCCCATTAAGTCCAAACTCTGGACAGAGAGTTTTCGGTTTAGACATACTATTAGTTTTTTAGGACTGCAAAGTTGTTGCACTTTTTAAAAGTACCCCAAAATACTGACAAATACTGAATCTACAGAAGCGCAAATGGAAATTAACCAAACTAGCCTTGCTAGCTAAAGTTAGCTCTCTAACTGCTCTGGTTGTATTACGGTTCCAAGCTGCTGGAGGAATATTTGAACGTCCAGGAAATATGCTACGTGTTGTTTTCACTGTGGACATCCTATTTCAGACTTTACCCAGTCATAAATCAAAATTAATACTGTAAGTCCTTATATATTTGTGTAAAGGCCCAAGGAACTAACGGAAAGTCACGGGACAGCATGCACACAAATCATACGAATAAGATGCGCTTTCATCCTTTTTTTTTTATTGAATTTGGTATTAAAACTACTTGGCAGATAAATATATTACAGTTTGCAGACCTAGACAAAAATATGAATATAAAAACTGCCTGGGTTGTTTTGTCAACACACTATCAGATAGCTCAGGCTCCATTTACCTACTTCAGTTAGCCAAACAAAGAACGATCCCCGTGGAGAATATAAACAAGATAAAGTTAATAACCAACGTAAGTAACTACATTTACTTTGAATTTACCTACTTTAACCCAGTTACACAATATGAATATAAGAGGGAAAGTTGTTTCCTCATGCAGCAGCAACATATCTGCTCCCATATAGTAAATGTAGTCAGTAAACTTCTATCTTGCTCCATTGATTTCTATAAATTTGTGTTGCATTTTAAGTCTGGAAAATCACAATACATGGAAAAACCTGCGGGGACCTGGTGCAAATTTATGGCAAATACCATTCAGGAACTCAATTGAGCGAGTGTTGAAATATATCAATATACCACCTTACAGGGACCTCAATTTATGCATGGACTGCAGGGAAATGTAATTAAAATTGAACGTTTTTTTTACTGAGAGTTGCAGACTTGTTGAATAAGAAAATTAGTTAATTCTTAGTTCAACTAGCCACAGTTTTTGCCTGTTAATTGCTTCTTATATCTGATAAAATCCCACGGCAAATTATTATTTTTATGAAAGTATTTATGGTTCTCACAGATCATATTGTATAAATACGCTTGCTACGAACAGTTTTTAACATAAGCAACATCATTTTATTTGTGAATCTCAGGAATTGAGCATTGTTTTGTGTCTGTTTTCCAAAATTTCCCAAAAATGTATTAACCCACATGTTCATTAAGACAATGTTTTTCAAACCTGATTCTCAAGGCGCCCTGCCCTGCATGTTTCAGATGTTTCCTTTAGATGTTTTTATTTTTTTTTACTTTACTTTCCTACTGGCTTGTCATCAATGAGGAGGAACTCTGCTAAAAACTCGCTGATTCTAGTCATCAACTAATTTCCAAGAACCTCTCATTTGAAGTGAGTTCAGCGAAGTGCAGGATCATATTTTCTTTCACATCAACATAATTCAGGGGAGCCTTTAATTATGGTTCATTCATCTGGTTCAAGGTGAACTTGAACCAGATGAATAGATTTCCAGCAACCCTTTGTAGCGCTGAGTGAGTGAATAGTGATGAGGGAATTCAGGTGTGTTGGATGCATCTAAAAGCAGCAGTTTGCAGGAATGGACTTGGGAAAATCTGATATAATTTCTGTTTTAGGGCCCTTTGTGTTACATTTGCACTCCTGCTCTACCTACAAACAGGGCTTTGGTTAAGATAATGGATATTTAGATGCTGAATTTGTGATTAATGCAGGTGGGCTGGGTTTAGAAAATATATAATGGCCTTATTGCCTACGTCATGCTGTCTCATTATTCCTTTCTTTGGTCATAAATAGAGTTGAGGATTTGATGGATTTTCTACCTTACTTTAACTTTGTTTTGACTTGTATTTACATTTCAAGCAAATGAAGAGTAAATTAGAGACTGAGAGATAGTGATAAATGGTTTAGGGGATAGTAGCCTGGGTGCCATTCCGAACTTAGTACCGCCCACAACGTTTGAGGTCGGGAAGTTCGGTCTGGCATTGCTCAGTAGTAGCGTGAGTATGCTCGCAAATTGTCAGGGCGGGCTTTATACGATGATGGACAGATGATCAACAGTAACGTAATCAACCACGTGACCAAAGCGCGCTTGGGTGACAACAACAATGGCTGCCGCTGGAGAGTTGAGGTGTGTAGATTCTGCTATTAGGTCTGTTCTAGAAGATATCGACAGCAAATTAATTTTTAAAGAGGAACAGAGAAACGCGATCAAGGCTCATCTTCTTATTCTAGGCGTGCAACTGCACGCTTTGATTTTTGTTGACAACAACTATGCCTCGCTTAACATACGTCACGCACTCCGTTGCTCTTATTGGTTGTAGGTCTATCCAATTGAGTGCAGAGGCATTTTTTTCCCTGGTTTCCTGGTAAAAAAAATTTTTTAAAAATACAAGATGTTATAAGAAGCCTTTATTATTGTGTTTGTTTGTTTTTGTCCCTCCAGTATGTCCAAAATGACTCCCCATCTAGCAAATCCCTGGCTGGCCTGGTTGTCCAGCTGCTTCAGTTTCAAGAGGATGCATTTGGACGCAGGGTCAACAATCCTCCACTTACCAAGCTACCTGTAAGCAAATGCTCGTCGCTCTCAAGGAGAATCTCAACTAACCATTCGTCCTTGCAGCCCAAGTACAAATAGAAAAAATTGTTCTTGTTCCTCTTCCTGTCCAGGCCAAGTGTTTTCTTGATTTCAAGGCTGGAGGTACTCTCTGTCACATCTTGGGATCAGTTTACAAGTACAAAAGTGAACAGGGCTGGTAAGTAAATGACTGACTCAAACTGGCACAGCTTATAAATTAGAAAGATATATGAAATATCGTTATGATCAGAATTCCATTTTATCTAGGTAGATTTACATTGGATTCCCTCTATTTAATGCATTTTTCCACACAGCTAAATTTAAAAGTTGTCACATTCATTATAATGTCTGATGTAATTGGGATGATCAGAAACACAATGCAGAATGGATTTATTTATCTGTGATGAGATTAACACAATTTATCAATTTAACCAGCTCAACAAATTAAACAATTTATTTCCTGTGAGCTGAACTGGACCATTTGTGAGTTGTTGTTTTTTTTTGACATCTGATGCTTATTTTTAGGAGGAGATTCGACCTGCAGAATCCGTCACGGATGGACCGAAATGTGGAAATGTTCTTAAATGTTGAAAAACACCTTGTCCAGGTAAGAGCAAGAATGTAGACAAAGGTTATGTCTCCACACGCTCTATTTTTATTTAGACTTAATGTCTTTTAGCTTTTTGCTGGTTTCTTGAAAGTGCTCATGTCTTTGTAGAATAACTGCCTGGCTCGGCCCCTCGTCTACCTGTCGCCAGATATTGAGCAAAAACAAGCCGGCAAGCTGAAAGAGATCATTAAAAGGCACCAGGTGAGCTTTGATCAAACCAGGAAGTGATTATTTCTATGTCTCATCACAAATGCTGATGTTTTTGTTACCCCTGTCATTGTCTTATTTTTGTCTTTCTTTCCTTCCAGGGTTCAGTCACTGAGGACAAGTCAAAAGCAACTCATCACATTTACCCTTCTCTCACACAGCAGGATGAAGGTGAGTTTACAATCCTCCTGACTTAACAAATTCTCTGATTAATTAGAATTTTACATAAAAATTCAAATGCCGTTTTTTTTTTTTCCTCTACGATCCAACTTCCAGGAAAAGTTTTTCTTTAGCCTCATACAAATGTAGCTACTAGTGGTGTAGAAATAGATTTTCACAGAGGCAAGTGTTTTGCAAACACTGTTTTTATTGGGAGCGGGGAACAACATATATTTTTTATATAGGAAATAAATAAATGAAAACATAATTTCAATTTTCATTATTGAACATAAAAAAATTCTGTTTTTTCAGAGGAGTGGCTGCGTCCTGTCATGAGGAAGGACAAGCAGGTTCTCGTTCATTGGGGTTTCTACCCAGACAGGTGAACAGGAATTCAAAAATATAAATTAAATGGTGAATTAGAAGCTGCAGTCTTATTTTTTTATATTTCACATTTATTTTATGTTCATTTTTAAACAATATTTCAGTTCTTTTTTATATTCATATAATACCTATAGCACCTAAAAGAGGTTTTACATCTTTGCACTACATTACTGATCCCTGTCTGCTAATGCTTTGTTAGCTACGACACCTGGGTATCAGCCGGTGAGGTGGATGGAGATGTGGAAGATCCTCCCAGCAATGAAAAACCATGGAAGGTAAGCAATCGCTCTTTTAGCAAATGTTTTTAGTTTTGAAAATATTTTTTTTACTATGTCCTGCAACAGATTATTTTATGACAGCCTGTATTCAGTCGAAAGGCACAGTCCTGAATTGTCCCTAGCGTAGCATTGTCCTTTCTTTATTTTAAACCATTTGGTATAACTACAGTTCAGGATTTCCATGAAGACAAAAACTAAAACAGGAAATTTTAAATATGTGCAGTCTGTATTTTTATCTTGACTTTTGCAATCATTGCATAATGGTTTTAAACTTGATCATAAATACAATTGAATTAAAAATATAAAAATAAGATATGTGTTGGCTTTTTGAAGTGTTTACTTGGTGTCACTGTCACTACTTGTTGAAGACTTTCCTTTGATTATTTACCATTAGTACCTCTCTTAACATTAGTACCTCTTTCTGCTTAACTAGGTTCATGCTAAGTGGGTTTTAGATACAGATGCCTTCAATGAGTGGATGAATGAGGAGGACTATGAGGTGGACGAGAACAAAAAGCCGGTCAGCTTCCGACAGAGGATCTTCCCCAAAGAGGAAGAGGTAGGTTTCCATGTCTTCTTTCTGATGTGAATATTTTGTTGCCTGTAGCTTTGCCTTGCTCTTTGTCGTCCTTTTCCACATCTGGCTTTGTCTGTTGCTCACCTTTTTCAAACCTTTCCTTGCACCATGTCTACTTCTGATTAAGGTCAGGGTTCCTGTCCATCAATGCATCCGAATTTTAATTTTTATGAATATAGGGTTGATTAAACTACTTAATAAGTAGTTGTTTAGTTTCCTTAGAATTTAATAAACCAGAGTAAGTCGGGAAATAAAACCTGCTCACAGGACAAAAGGCCAACGTTTTTAAGTAAAAAGTGACAGTTCTGTGGCAGGATGGTGTACAGGAACCCTGTTTGTCTCTCCACCACCCACCAACGCATCTCCCTACCCTGTCGTTGCTCTCCCACTGCTTCCCCTCCTTGTGTGTGCAACCCTTCCATCCTTCTCATTCTGCCGCTCTTTCTCTCATCCTCCATCCCTCGCTCCCTGCGCTGCACGGGGTTTGTCTGATCAGTCTTCCCGTACACCTGATCGAAAGGAGCGCAAGGCAAACTCTGCTGGCAAGAAGAGGAGACGCTCACCGTCGCCGCCCAGCACTCCAGCCGAGTCCCGTAAAAAAGGAGGAAAGAAGGGGTAAGAAAGACACTTTAGTGAATTCTTCCAACATTTTTCTGTGGGTTAATGACTATTTAAAGCCACCTATTAGTGATTGCAGAAAGGTTTTAAATGTTCTGTTAAGGAAACACATTTAGTAATCAAAGTGTTATTCATTCAGAACTGATCTATGGCACAGACTTGTTTCTACTGTTAAGTTTGGAAACAGAAACATATTATTAAGAGTTTGCAGTTTGTTTTGACTGACCTTCAAACTCTCTCAGGAACCCAGGGCCTCATTGGAAGCGAAGGGGACACAAAGGAGAGGAAGAGGACACAGAGGAGGACATGACTAAAGACCTGGATGACTCCTCTGCCGGTGCCAGCATGGAGGATGGCTGTGTGTCCAAGAATGGTGTGTAGGCTTTTAAGGAGACTCACTCTTTGATTGATTTGCAAATAATTAAATAGCAATAGTTTTGTTTTTATTGGTTACAAACTCTCGACTGTCTTTAGCTGAAGGGAAAAAAATGTTATTTATATAAGAGACAAAGTATTTGAAAAGCTGCACAATATAAGCAGGGTTCCAATGAGGTCTTAAAAACTCTTAAGTCTTAAATTTAAACATTTAAATTTAAAAGGTCTTAAAAAGTATGACATTATATGCAGAGTTTTGCCTAGCGTATTATAAGCCTTGCGAGCAGACATGCTAAGTGTTGTTGTTTTTTTTAGAAATGTGTCGTCTGAGATTGACATAAGTTTTTCAGAAAAGCTCTCGGTCTAGAAGGCTAACAAGCTAGCAGCTATTAGCTGAAAGCACAACGAATATTATATGCACACAGAAGTGGTAATGATGCAAGGCTCCTCGTACTTCACTCTGCACAGGATCGTACACGCAGCAAAGCTAAGAACATTTGGACCAACATTAATGTTGGTGTACTCTGTGTAAAAGGAAAACAGAGAGAAGCAGAGACGACATTCTTGAGCTTGGAGGAAATCGGTACAAAATGACCTACATAAAGAGTATGAGAACCTGGAAGATCGCATTAGTCCACCGGGCAGAAAGAACACTAAAGGCGGGATAGAGGCTATGACAGGCTGAGAGTAGGAGAGCAGTACATCGGAGAAGTCTGCCAGGTTGACCGAGCTAGGGGAGGCTAGCCTATAAAGGCAAACTGGGAGATGGAAGAAGCAGAGCTGAGGAGCCGTGAAACCAGACAGCAGCTGAGTAGGGGAGAAAGGGCATCAGCTGGTCGGTGTCTGTGCTGGAGGTAGGATGAAGAAACAATTATTCTACAGATAAATTTAAACGTTTTTTTTTTTAGCCACCTTAATTCTCTTAACAGCTCACCCCATTTCATTCTTTGTCAACATTATTCTCTCTGTCTTAAGTTTTGATTTTAAAAAGCTTCTCTTAGCTGCCCCCTACACTGTATTTCACATCAACATCTAGTCCCAGGCTGGATTTCGCCATATAAATGTAAACAAAAAGTTTACATTTTCAAATACTGTAATTGAAGCAAAGCAAGATTCCGCAGCCTTTGCCAGGATCGTTCCATTTGCCTCACTGATCTTCGCACCTGATGCAGAATTGGCGTTCGTTGTAGATGTACCCTAATTGTTCTGTGTTTATACACACCTCACCACAGTACTTTTTGTGTTAAAGGACCCTTTGATTATTATGAATTGTTGATAAATGTAAATTTATTTATTATGCACAGTATCGAAACCTGCTATCTCAGCAGAGTTTTCTGTTATTGCTGTTCTAGCCTTTAAGAGCCACAGTAACTGGAGGAGCAGAAAGTTCTCTTACAATTTTTCAGTTTTTCTTCTAATATCCAAGTTCTTTTTTGGGGGGGATTCTGCACCTGATTTCCAGTAGTTTTCCTCTTACCTCTTTATACTTGAATACATTTTGTAGAAGTGTTGAATAAAATGTCATCCTCGAACTCTAAGGTTAGGTTATGCCAAAACAAAAAAAAAGAAGCATTGCATGCCAAAGCTGTTTTGTTTCCTCCCTTGATATCAGATTTTAAGATTTATTTTAATACCAAACACAAACCTGAGTGTGCTTTTTCCTTTTTTGTTAAACTGAGTCCCAGTTGTGTTGGCCCACTTTCCCCCCCCCCCAAAAACCTGTTCTTCTCTCTGATTCAATCTATTTTAAGGTCCTATCGATTTTTTTTCTCCAGTTTCGGTGAATTTGGTTCATGTTGGTTAAAGCCTCCATGCCTACGGCTGAGTTATGCTGTCTGAAGGTCTTTTATTTTAATCTTTTATCTGCCCTCCAGTGTTTCACTTGGTTCATCTTTCTCACTTCTGTCCCATGCACAGCTAATTCAAAAAAAGACAGTGGCTACGTTTACATGGACACAACTAATCGGATTGAAGGCCTGATCAGATCAAAAATGTTTCATGTAAACATGTCAGACTGAAGATTCTAATCCGATTCGGTCCGATCGGATCTAAATTTAATTCCGAATGAGAGAGGTGGTTTTTGCCGATCGCCATTCCGATTGGCGTCCATGTAAACACCCATTCGGATCTAAAGAGTAAAATAATCTTCACTGCGCATGTGTGCGACGTCAGAGTGACGTTTTCCGCCTTGTCAACAACAGGAAATCACCGGTCTCTCTCGCTGTGAACAACATGGCGGGGGGAGTCTAGGAACGCTGACTTATAAGTTAATTTAAAGCTGCAGGAAGCAGGAATTTATCCTCCTCCTCTTCCTCTTTTCTCTCTCCACAGCCCACTCGCTCTCCCACGCCGGTTCAATCGCTCATTCTCTACATTTTCTCTCGGACATTTCGCTGCCAAGCGCTTTTTTCCTCCTCTCTCCTTTTTTCTTTCCGCTCGCTCCGAGCGCTTCGTTTGTCAGGCCTCCCAAAAACCAGACGCAGACAGAACTGCCAAGTTTGGCAGGAAGTTCTGCGCATGCTTAAAAGATTTAATCTGATCCAACGCTTGATACATGTATACACACGTCATGATCAGATCATTTCATTTAGTGTCCATGTAAACGGAGATTTTGAATTTCCGATCAACCAAGGTTTGGATCGGATCGGGGAAATTTTGCGCATGTAAACGTAGCTAGTGAAAATACTCCAGTCAAGGGAGGGAATATGGCAGATTTGGGTTTGTATCCAAATGGATTTGCATGCTGTGTTGTGTATTTGATAACATAATAGAGTTTAACCATTTTAAAACATCTTCTTGCAGTCTCCTTTGTGTCTAATGTAACGCTTATTTGTATTTTCCCAGATGACATGGAAGATGATTCTGTGCTCTCCGGAGGAAAGGTCAGAAAACTCATCCAGGTCTTTTTTTCATAGATTACAAATAAAACTTTCAAAATTAGATGTTCTGCTGTATAAACAAAACTCTCGCAGCTATATGAATGGATTTGGTTGAACTGAATTGCTATATTGTCCCTGTTGAACTTGTCCATAACTTTTCAAGTTATCCTGAACATAGACAGACAAACAAACAAACTCTCCTAAAACATAACCTTCTTGGTGGAGGTAAAAAAAAAAAAAAAACACACCATATAATGCTACAATACAAAAACCATCAGCCCCTGCGTGGGATGGGCAGGGGTGGGGTAATGAAAAAGTGGTTTGTCTTTCCCGAGGGAAGTGGTGAGAACAGGACGTATCAGGAGTTTGCGCTGATATTTCTGGCCTTTTTTTTTTTTAAGTAGGTTAAGGTAGGTATCTTTTGGGGATGACAGTGTAGTCATTGTGCTGCAGTAGAACATTATAATGCTGTAGTGTAGACCGATCAATCCATAAACTCAATGTCTCGATAGCAGTGAGTGTGTTTAATGGTTGCATTAGTGTTCCATCTGTGGTCTACTCTTGGACTAGAGTCTATTGTCTGGTCAGCTTTAAAGACAGCATGGTCCGCTAGCTCAATAGCCACATCGGGGATGTTATTTGATCCAGCCAGGACTCTGTGGCAATCAGTAAGCACTATTCCAGAGTGTGAAAATCGATCCGCAGTGCTAGTTGCTTCATATTTGTGTATGCGTCGGTAAGAAAGAGGCACGGGATCATCGGGGTTAGCCCTTAGCTTAGTCTCTTTAGCCCTGCTTCTGATTCCTGTGTCTGCACTGGTTATGCCACTTTAGCAGAGGTATGATATAACTGGCTTCGGTCCATGGATGCCGAATCTCAGGAATAACAGTATGCCAGAAATTTAAGTTATATTGTGGCTAGAAGGCATTTATCGCAACAGACAACAGTTCCGTCCTGCTGTACTGCACACATGTCACAAGCAGAGATGAGTAACATAAAAAGATAGGTGTGTAGTAGGAGAAGTAGAAATGATTTTCTCTTTTTGTTTTTTTGGGTCTTGCAAAGACTAACAAGCTTTAAACCCACTTGCTGAAACCCTGGTGCAGGTCATGCAAGTTGAATTAAACCAGTTTCAGTTAAAATGTCCTTTTTAGTACCCTAGTCTGATACTTTTTGAAATACAGTTGCAATTTTTCCACAGAATTAACAATTTTTCCTCATCTTTTTTTCTCCCTCTTTTGCTGAATGTATATTAGTTTGACCTTTTATGGGTGAAACTATGAACAAGAATGTCGACCGTTTTAACTGTTAGGTTGATAGACATGCATCTAGTGGCGTTAGGGTTGTTTTTATTAACCTGACAACAGCCAGATGCATGTCTCGCTCCGCCCAGCTCCACTCACATACATCTGGGAACCCGCTCATTGAAAGTGATTTCCCCAACCAAATTTATGGTCTGTCCAATCAGGACGCAGGGTGGGTGTGTCCTGGAGTGGAGAAGCGACCGTGAGATTCCAACAACAATGGCGGCTCGCATTGAGGAAGCAAGCGTTAGCATTGAAGCTGCTATTTCTTCTGTGTTGTCCAATCTATCTGATATTGTTTCATCAAAAGAACATCAGAGAACGGCTTTGAAGGCTTTTGTTGGTGGAAACGATGTTTTCGCCCTTCTCCCGACCGGATTTGGCAAGAGCGTGATCTACCAAATGGCTCCTCCTCTCACAGCGTCACGGGTTAGCTTCGGTGTGAGTGGTTGAGATAGCACGTCAATAAAGATGACAGACAAGTGGCTTATCCAATCATATGCAAGGAGTTTTGATAAGGCCCAGCCTTCAGTAAAGGCAATTCCTATGGCGGGTTCCCAGATGTATGTGAGTGGAGCTAGGCGGAGCGAGACATGCATCTGGCTGTTGTCAGGTTATGTTTTTATAGCCTGGATACAAAATTATATTTATACTAAGAAACCAACTTTTTGACATATATAAATAATCATAATATAAATGTATTCAAGTGGGAATGCTTATGAATTCCCACTTATTGTTTTTCACTTAAACTTTTTCTGACTCTAACTAGTCCCGCAGTTTTCAACCGATTTCAACAGTTTTGGTATCAAAACGTTCAGCTTGTTCAGGAGAATTGTGCTATGTCTTTTGGTAAAGATATTTTTTTAGTTTTCGCGATATTCAGCTTTTTCTGCGTTTTTTTTTGTCCCATTGAAATGCATGTAGAATTCTTAGATTTCAGCAAAATTCAGCTAAAACTTTATCTTCTTCGACCTTTAACTACTGCAGCATACTTTCAGCTAGAAACACCATTCAACTTTTAAAATGTTTCCGTATCTTTCTGCTATTACTGTTTAACTCAGCTCTTTGCTAACTTTTATAGTTTTGCTTCAGTGAAGCTTCAAACGTTAAAAGAATTTTTACAGATTTTCAGATTTATAATGGAAGTCTATGGACGGAATTCTTCAACTGCTAGGGTGCGTGCTCTAGCTTTTGAGCTGTTCTGGTTTTTCCGAACAAATTCTTCTCACTCCCTCATTGTTCACTCAATTGAAATAAATTATACATTAAACGTAGGGATTTTTGTCAGGATTCAGGAAATGTAACCCTCATTTGTGTGGCATTTACGGTTTTCCAACAGTTTGGCCCAGACCGCGAAGAAGTCCAGACTTCCCCAATAGAAATCAAATGAGAGACTTTCCAAAAATCACAGACAAAATCCAAAAGCCTCAAACTTTTCTCTTCTTAGAGCAACGTTTCCAGCTGCTGGATGTCATGTTGAAGTTTTTTCTGGTCGACCTCCTTGGATGTGCTCTGAGTTTCTTTTAGTTTCCGTTTTTCTGCCTGCAGCCCTACTTTCCTCTTTTCTTGAAGCTGTTCTTCCAGTTGTTGAATGTCCAGGTTAAACTATTGGATGTAATCTTGATGGTATTAGTGATCATCCCTGATCTCTAGTTTCCTGAGAAGGGTCTGGCTTTTCTCTACAGCCTTCAGCCTCTCTGCCTCACTTCTCTTCTAAGAGGCTCGTACCCTTATGACTTCTTGATTAAGTTCTTGACACAAAGCACTGACACGTTCTGCATGATTAGAGATTTCAGTTTCTGCTTGGAGCCTCAATCTTTTCTCTGCTTGGAGCAACGTTTCCAGCTGCTGGATGTCATGTTGAAGTTTTTTCTGGTCAACCTCCTTGGATGTGCTCTGAGTTTCTTTTAGTTTCCGTTTTTCTGCCTGGAGCCCTACTTTGCTCTTTTCTTGAAGCTGTTCTTCCAGTTGTTCAATGTCCAGGTTAAACTATTGGATGTCATCTTGATGGCATTAGTGATCATCCCTGATCTCTAGTTTCCTGAGAAGGGTCTGGCTTTTCTCCACAGCCTTCAGCCTTTCTGCCTCACTTCTCTCCAAAGAGGCTCGTACCCTTATGACTTCTTGATTAAGTTCTTGACACAAAGCGCTGACGCTTTCTACATGAATAGAGATTTAATTTTCTGCTTGGAGCCTCAATCTTTTCTCTGCTTGGAGCAAAGTTTCCAGCTGCTGGATGTCATGTTGAAGTTTTTTCTGTTCGACCTCCTTGGATGTGCTCTGAGTTTCTTTTAGTTTCCATTTTTGTGCCTGGAGCCCTACTTTGCTCTTTTCTTGAAGCTCTTCTTCCAGTTGTTGAATGTCCAGGTTCATTATGTCCAGGTCACCCAGTTTCACAGAAGCTGAACCCTCCTGAAATCTTTTCTCTATATCTTTTAGTTTGTTGAAGAGTATCTGTATGATCTCTGTAGCCTTCTGTTTTTCGGCCTCTACTTGGATTCGAAGATCTTTCTCTCTCTTGATATCTTTGTCCGTTTCTTCGCACAAAGCCTCTAACTGTTCAAAGGTTGTAGTCTCTGCTTGCAACCTCAGCTCTCTTTCTTTTTCTAGCTTTTCTTGCAGCTCTCTGATGGTATTATGCATCTCACGTCTCTCTGAAAACCCTTTGGACATCTCCAATTTTTGGAGTTTGTCGGAAAGTGCCTGTGTGATCTCCAGAGCTTCCAGTTTTTTATATTCACTTTCAAATCTGAGGTGCTTTTCTTTTTGAAGCTCTGTCTCAGCTTTCTCCAACTTCAGTTCAGCCAAACGCATTTCAAACTCATGTTTAATGTTGAGGTGGAAAATTTGGTCTTCATATTTCATTTGTAAGTTAATGAGTTCCTTCTGGTGTTTCTCTTTGGTGTGGCAGCAGGTGGACCTCATCTGCGCTTGGATTTTGTCTTCAGCTTGCTGAAGTTTGTCCTTCAGCTCCATAATTTCCTGCTGAAAAGCCTCATTTTCTTGGCTTAGGACCTTGTTAAACCTTTGGAAGACGTTAGAAGGTTGATTGGCTCCAATATTCTCCATTGTCTTATTTTTAACAAGGTGCTGCTAAGTGAAACTGTTCTCTCAAGAATGTGTCTGGACTGTGCACTAGACTAGGCTTCTAGAATTATAGAATTTTAGACTGATGATGTCATATCTATCACCATGGAAACAGTCACTGATCCCAGATCAGCCTTTCCACTGAATGGAACTTTGGTCACATGACTGCAAAGTAGCTAAAGATACTGGTGGATAAGACTGAGCAGATGGCATAGAACAAAGGTTCCACTTTTATATGGGACTAAGGACAACTTTAGCAGAGCTATTGGCTTTGATTGAACATAATCAAAAGCTAATCCACTTCAATTATAAAGCAAAGTCACTGATGATGATATAGAAAAAAATATTCAAACATGAATAGCATTTTAAATTGACAAACAAGTTATAGCAACACAATATTTTTTATATCCACAAAAGAATAAATAATCAAGTGGGAATGCATAAGTTTTCAACCAATTTCAAAAATTTTTGTATCAAAATGCTCAGCTTGTTCAGGAGAATTCTGCTATGTCTTTTGGTAAAGATATATATATATATATATATATTTTTTCTTCTCGATATTCAGCTTTTTCTGTGTTTGTTTGTTTTTTTGTCCCATTGAAATGCATTTAGAATTCTTAGATTTTAGCTAAATTCAGATAATACTTCAACGTTTTGACCTTTAACTACTTCAGCATACTTTCAGCTAGAAACACCATTCAACTTTTAAAATGTTTCCATATCTTTCTGCTATTAATGTTTAACTCAGCTTTTTACTAACTTTTACAGGTTTGCTTCAGTGAAGCTTCAAACGTTTAAATAATTTTTACAGATTTTCACATTTATAATGGAAGTCTATGGACGGAATGTTCAGCTGCTAGAGTGTGGTCACTCTAGGGTTTTCAAACATTTCACTCATGCCAAACAGCTTCAACTCACTCACTCAGGATTCAGGAAATGTATTCCTCATTTGTGTGGGATTTACAGTTTTCCTACAGTTTGCCCTAGACCACGAAGAAGTCCACACTTCCCTAATAGAAATCCAATGAGAGACTTTCCAAAAATCACAGACAAAAATCCAAAACGACACATATTTTCGTATCGCTGCCATTGCTAAACTGTTTGATGTACAAACATGAAACTTGGTATAGAACATCTTCAGACCCTACTAGCACTTACATTGAAGGATTTTTTTCAATATCATTTATAGTTTAGCTGTTTAGCTGACTTTTTCGGGTATGCGAAAACGTTGATTGTGAGAAAAATCCTCAGACTAGGAAAAAACACATTTTTACATCGTCACCATGGCCAAATAGTCTTTAGTAGGAACATGACATTTGGCATAACCGAAGCCGAGGGATGGCTGACACCCATAGTAAAGGAAGTTTTTGAACACCCTATACAGCTTTGGCTCACCACTTGTTTGTGGGGTTTTTCAGCACCTGGAAGCTCAGTGAACCTGAGGTGCGCATGTAATCCAATCAGACGAGAAGGTGGGACAAACCATTATGTTTCTCTTCCCATTAGGGTTGTAAAAGAGCTACAGACATGAATGTTATCCCAATCGGACACAAGGGATAGCTGTCACTTAGACGGAAATAATTTTTTGGAAACCATTTACGGTTTTGGCTCACCACTGGTTTGTTTGGAGGGTTGGTTTGGCTTTTGAGAGCTCAGTTCTAACAAGAAGCTACATATTATTTAATGAGAGGAGCAGGTGTGACACACCTTTTTATTTCTCCTTCCCATTAAAGTTGTGAATGAGCGAGAGCCATGAAAGTTACTCCTATTGGAGACAAGGGATAGCTGTCGCTTAGATTGAAAGAATTTTTTAGATACCATTTACGGTTTGCCTTCAGCACTCATTTGTTCAGAGCTGTTTTTCCCATTCAAAAAAGCCTGAGAGCGAAGGAACAATAGTGCTGCGCTTTTCTCTGTGTCACTGACAGGCTCTTTAAGCGTCGTCAAGGTAACCAAGCTTCAAAGGGAATGCCTACCTCTGCCACTTTATACAGCACATATTAATTTAATGGAGGGAGACAACACTGATTTAACATTTGGAAAAGGATGCTATATGACTACTGGCATGACCCTTCCCTTGACACTCAACCCTGATAGACTTTCAAAATAAGACTCCACGGACCCTACAAAATAAAAGCCTCTACATTACACTCATATATTTGTTGCAGCATATGGCTCAACATTATGCCACAAACTCAACCCCTTTTTAGAAATTAGACCTTAGGGGGCTTTTCAAAACACACCCCACAGAAATTTTCAAAATAAAAGCCTCCCATTGCCAGGGAGACAATGGGGGAAAAGAGTGATTTAATGACTGGAAAGTCATCAAGTATCATTGCTGGGTCTGACCTTTTTCTCAACACACAACCCTGCTAGATTCTCAAAATAAGACTGCAGGGACCCTACAAAATAAAAGCCTCTATATTGCACTGGTGTATTAATTGATGCAAATGGCTCAGCATTGTGACTCGAACTCAACCAACTAGTTTCTATTAGACTCTAGGGACCTTTTCAAAACACACCCCAGAGCAAATTTCACGCTAAAAGTCTCCCATTTACGCTCTAATACAGCATCTATTTACCCAATTACATCGAAAACCAGTGATTTCACATTTAGAAATGGATTCTATATCACTGCTGGGCATGACCCTTCCCTTGACACAAAGCTATGGTAGAATTTCAAAATAAGACTATGAGGACTGATAAAATAAAAGCCTCTTCCTTATGCACACTCATTTATTGTGCCGTATGGTTCATAGCTACGACCCGAACTCAACCAATTTCTTCAAATTACACTACCAAGGCCTGTTGACAACACACCTAAGTGCACATTTCTTAATGAAGCTCTAACGTTTCCATTGTAATAAAGCATCTGCTAACATCGTAAGTTGATGCTTTACTTCTGTCAACTTCCAGGTAAACAGATACTTTTGGACTTTTTCTTCTGGTTAATCAACTTTAAATGTTTTGCTTTTAAGATGAGTGTGTTTTTGCCATTATTTTGCCAAATGATTCTATCCTACAAAATCTTCAGATGATTCTACTGGTTTCTGCTGTTTAAAGTTTCTGATTACTTCCTATCACATTTTGATATGTTCTTCAGCTAATTTGTGCCTCTTTTACGTTATACAGTTTCTTTAGCTAACTTTTTCTTTTCTCATTCAGCATAAAAAAGCATTCCCACTTTGCTGTTTCTCAGAAACAGCTTTTTCTAGTTAAAACATGATTTTGAAATTCGTCTACAGGACGATGATGAGCAAGGCAAGGGAGAAGTCAATCGGATGGATGCTGGCGAGGACAATGTAACTGAACAGACGCATCACATCATCATTCCCAGCTACTCTGCCTGGTTCGACTACAACAGGTTAGTTCTGAGGAGATGAAAACCTCTCAATTATTCTGTCTTCTGCTGCTCTTTAGGCCATGTTGTGTAATTTGATATAAAAGGTCTAACCAATCAGGTTTATTTGGAAAATTGGGGGAAGTTGGAGTTGGACCTGTGTGTATGATACTGTTTTTGTTTTTTTTTTTTGTTTTTTTTTACAAATTCAAGTTTTTGTGAATATGTTTATGACAAAGCAGATCATAAGTCTCGTAAAAAGGTTTTTGCTCTGTTTGATCTGTTTTTTTGTTGTTTTTTTCTCCCTTTTTAGCATCCACGAAATCGAACGAAGAGCCCTTCCAGAGTTCTTTAATGGAAAGAATAAGTCCAAAACTCCAGAAATGTGAGTTAGATTTTCATTCTTACTTCATCCACAGCAAGTTTCATTTTGAGTGAGAAAACTGTCATATTCATGCTATGTTGTTCACTTTCATGTGTTGTGACTCCTGGACAGATACCTGGCCTATCGTAACTTCATGATTGACACGTATCGGCTGAACCCTCAAGAATACCTGACCTCCACCTCCTGTCGCAGAAACCTGACTGGCGATGTCTGTGCCATCATGAGGTCCGCTAAATTTGATCTATACACAGTTTTAGTTCTGTTGAAAAAAAGAATATGTGAATGCACTTTGCAACTTAATCACAACTTAAATTGTTTTTCCTTTCTTGTCTTCAGAGTTCATGCCTTCCTGGAGCAGTGGGGTTTAGTAAATTACCAGGTGGATGCTGAAAGTCGCCCCCTGCCCATGGGGCCCCCTCCTACACCTCATTTCACCGTGCTGGCTGACACACCCTCTGGACTCATGCCCCTCAACCACCGACCACCACCTGTAAGAAGCATAGGACGACATTTTTTATTTTTTATTATTATTTTTTTTTTTTTACAATTTCCCACAGTACACGTCATGAATAAATCTTTAAAGCAAAAAGGTTAAGGTTACATCTCTAATAGTAAGTGTTTGATTTCTGCAGATTCCTCCTCCACAGCCAATGCCTAACTTTGCAGATAAGGCCAAAGACAAACCAATTGACCTGCAGAACTTTGGCCTCCGGCCCGACCTCTACAAGAAAAACGCCAAGGTGAGAGCTTAACATGATTTGTGCATGTAAACATGTTACATTCTTAGAATCTAAAAAAAATATTCTTTAATTTAATAATGTATTTGCTTTGAATCACAGCAGGGAAAAGGTGCCACTACCACCAGAGAATGGACTGAGCAAGAGACTCTACTGCTGCTTGAGGTGTGTCTTTTTAATATCTGTCTGCTTTTCATTTTCTTTTTTATTCTGTAAGTCACTCCATCATTTTCTCACATCATATAAACTACAGATGTTTATACCTGCACCCTTTGTCATCATTTTCCTCCTGAAACCAATAAACTTGTATCTGTGCTGCTTACAGGCCCTGGAGATGTACAAAGACGACTGGAACAAAGTTTCAGAACATGTTGGTTCACGCACCCAAGATGAATGTATCCTGCACTTCCTGCGGCTGCCCATAGAAGATCCATATCTCGAGAGCACAGAAACGTCCCTGGGTCCTTTGGCCTACCAGCCTATTCCCTTCAGCCAGTCTGGAAACCCTGTGATGAGCACAGTAGCCTTCCTGGCTTCTGTTGTGGATCCCAGGGTGGCATCTGCTGCAGCCAAAGCAGCTCTAGGTGAGTCTTGCTTACATTAATATTTACTTAGGTGATACTGATATAAATGCACTTTTAAGTGTTAATGGTCAGGAATTAAAAAATAATAATAGCAGAAAGAAATTAAAGGAAAATATGGCCTGTGCATAAAGGGAGTTATATCCAAACACCAAGGCTGGTTCGAGAAATTAGCCTGTTTGGTCCGATTTTTAATTTTTTCCTTAAATGATAAACAGAATATAATTCAAATTAATTGTGATTTCAGTTTTTTCTCAACATTTGAGATTCTGGTTTTCCACTTTCTCTGTGGTATCAATAAACAAAAGAAATCACTGCATTTGTGGAGTTTTCCATGCACTTATAAGCAGTTTTAAGCTCACAGTGTATTGCTTTAGTCCTGGGGATATTTACAGGACATTTAGGTAAAAAGGCCTTTTCTCCTTTTGCAGAAGAGTTCTCTCGTGTGCGTGAGGAAGTTCCAGCGGAGTTGGTTGAAGCTCATGTCAAAAAGGTGCAGGAGGCAGCAAGGAACACAGGCAAAGTAGATCCTACCTTCGGCTTGGAGAGCAGCGGGATTGCCGGAACAGCCCCTGAGGAGCCAGAAAAAACAGGTAAATAGCATCGTACAATCATAGTGGTGATCTTTGCTCTAATTATTTTATCTCATTGAAAAAAAATATACTATATTTTTACTGGAATCAATCTATTTAGACAATAAACTGTTATGAAAAGTGGCCGCCACTAGATGGCGCCATATAGTCACATTATCAGAGGGAATGCAGAAAGGTCTTCTAATGCACATAAGGGCTCTTAGAATGGGTTAATATTTCACGAAGAATCCTCATGAATGCCAGTAGGAGTTGATGACTCTTTTATGATATTGAAATGATCTGGGGTTGCATCTGTTTTTGTCAGCATGTGCTGAGCAGTTTAGATATTGGTCTGTGTTTATAGTGCTGCAGTAACCAGTGGATTAAAGGAACAGTGGCAGATGGAGCATAATGTTTGGGTGGAGGGAAAACAGAAAACTGGGTCATCATTCAGTGCTTCTCAATTTTTTCCCTTTTTTTTTTTTTTGTTCTGTTTGGTCTTTAAAAATGTGTCTTATGCAGCCATCTCTGATAAAATGGCTTTGGTGCCTGAATTACTGCCCTCTTGAACTACAGCAATGATCAATAAGCCAAAATGTGCTCCAGTTCTCACTCGCCCTAAAGCAATCACCTGACCCACAGTCAATATTCGGGCCCTTAACATTTGCCTAAGTGCATCTGTGACATGGTTTAACTCATAGCGGTAAACGTATATAAAGCTGCTCACTTGTTCTCAAAAGCTTTCACATTTTTCCCAATGGTCTGTTTATAAACTGAATTGAATTTAAATTACGGGTTACCTGATTCCTTAAGGGCTTTTGTCTGACTGAATAAAATAAGTTTTACTAATAAGAGGAAATGAGTTTCTATATATTATATTTTCCTAATGTGTAGTTTATTTCATGTTCTCACTCAGAAACCCCAGAACCAGAAAAGATGGAAACAGATTCAGACTCCCAGCAGGCTGACAAGGTGAGGAAAAACAACCACTTGTCTGTTTTATTCTTTTTAAACATCCTTGTTGGAAACATTTTAACAAGCCCTCCCTACAAACATGAAACATTTGAAAGAAACCAGTGCGGATAAATCCTTGGAGAAAACAACAAATACTCTGAGTCATTCAAAATTTCATCCCTACAAATCTTTAAATGCTTCACAGCTCTTTCTTATGTCAGTATAGCTTTTTTTTTTACTTTGTTTGTTATAGAAAAGGTTACATTTATTCAAGTTTAAAAAGATGTATTTGTTAACTATAAAAATAATTGTTCTTATTGTCAGTGATATATAAATTGAGTTTTTACCATTTACTTGGCTTTTGTCAAGTTATTAAAAGACTAATCTTTTTTGTTGTTGTTGTAATTACATATGCAGTCAGAATCATTGATTATGTTTTATCGGGGACATCAATGCACCATTTAAATCTGCTAAGGTGCAAAATAGTCCTTGGCAGCTATCCATGTTCCTCTCATAAGTTCTAGCTCTCCCGATAGAGATGGTTAAAGTTTATTTTCTCCCTCATCTGCATTTATTTCTCATCTCCCTCCTACACTAGGATCTGCAGGTGAAGGTAATGTCTTTTCCAAAGTGAGCATTGTGTCTATGTACTAGCTCACTCTCAGTTTACCTCATTAACAACTATAACACACTTTTGTCATTGTGAGATTTAAACTAATAAGCTACATGGCTTAGGAATTTATTTAGTATCCCTGTAGTCTTTCTAAATGATGCTGATTTTCAGCAGTTAATGTGACATTGTACAGGTTGAATTAAATTCACTTCAATTAGAAAAATAATGGTATTCAGATCAGGTTGTTCCGTTTATTTATGCAAGGCCAATTAACAACACATCTCGTCGAGGCACTTTACAGAGACAATTCATTTGGATTAAACAGTCAGATTGGTAAAATGTTTTTTAACAAAGGAAAGCTGATTGCATCGACTCATTGATTTTCCAGGACACGCTCATCTTAGATGTGTGGTGACGGTAGATATTTGCTTGCATTTTGTTGTTGACTCTATAAAGATCCTTTACGCAAAGGATGCATGCAGGGACATTAGAAAGGAAAATCTCAGATTTAACAGGAATAAGCAGAACAGGCTCGGTGAGAGTGGCCTTCTGCCGAGGCTGACTGAGGGTTGTTGAAGGAGATAGCAGCAGATATAAAAAAGTAACAAACAAAGGAACATTAATGGTAAACTAGCTCTATCAGGGTTTCCACTGGGTTGAAAAAAGGTAGTGCATTAAATTGGCAACAATTACGAAAATTAAAAAGTTCCCTTTTTTATTGACTGCATAACTTTGTATTTATTTTTATGCCTTCAAAAGAAGGAACTCTTTCAGTCCATTCTCAAACAATATGTCAGACTTTTTGAAAAATTCCCGCTAGTGCCGCGAAAGTCCCACATACACTTATCCTCAAATTTCTGAGCTTGGACTCCTAAGTTAAGCTAAGTTTGTTCGACCGCTTGCACAGTTTTCGGTGCGAATCCATTGTTGCCAGGAAACAGTATTTATAACAAGCTCTTTTTAATGTAACACCAAGCCTAACAGGTCTCCTTAAAGGAGAAGTTCGGTTTTTTACACTTTAAGCCCATTTTCTGTAGTGTCCAGGATGAAATCGAATGAAGGACACCAAAATTTTGACAATTGCTCCTGTCTCTGCTTTTTGGCTCATTTAGAATCAACCCCTGGCTGCTTTAGAATGGCTAGCATAGAGCATGTCCGATAATGTCCTTAAAACAACCTTAAACGTTCTTTTTTTTAAATATGCTACTCACCGTGTCGTCAGCGCTGTTCAATGACGTTCCAAAAAAAGTTTCGTGAAGAAAAAACGTTCCTGTAGTGTTTTATTTAGCATTTTGTAAATCCCATTGAGTTCTGTAGGAATAGTCAATATTCCCCTGCCACCGGAAACGGAAATGGAGCCTGTTTACACAGTTGTAGTCTTTTCGCTTCACTCTGCGTACTCCGACGTCGAGGTGCTAACGTCTCTGTTAAACACTTTAAAAAACTCTGAAAATGGAATACGAAAGGTGGATTCTTGATTCTCGACGTCGGAGTACACAGAGTGAAGCGAAAAGACTACAACTGTGTAAACAGGCCCCATTTCCGTTTCCGGTGGCAGGGGAATATTGACTATTCCTACAGAACTCAATGGGATTTACAAAATGCTAAATAAAACACTACAGGAACGTTTTTTCTTCACGAAACTTTTTTTGGAACGTCATTGAACAGCGCTGACGACACGGTGAGTAGCATATTTTAAAAAAAGAACGTTTAAGGTTGTTTTAAGGACATTATCGGACATGCTCTATGCTAGCCATTCTAAAGCAGCCAGGGGTTGATTCTAAATGAGCCAAAAAGCAGAGACAGGACCAATTGTCAAAATGTTGGTGTCCTTCATTCGATTTCATCCTGGACACTACAGAAAATGGGCTTAAAGTGTAAAAAACCGAACTTCTCCTTTAAACAATAGCTGGCAGGGACTTAATGCTCAGAGCAGCGAGAGCAATGAAAAAACAAAAAAATGTCACCAACTTTATGATTAGTTATTCCCAAAAGAAGTCGAAAAGTTTTATCTGCAGCTTAAGTGTTGTGACTGTATTAAAAAGTTATTTAAAGGCATTACATTCAACATAATAATTCCTGCATATACCCTGTCTAAAGGTGGCATTTGTCTAGAAAAGAAACAGTTAAGCAGATAAACTCTGAACCAGGTTTGCAGTCTATGGGATGAAAGAAGTTAGTAACACTAACTCTATGTGTTCTGACAGACTGACTGAACAATAAAAATCAGCATCATTGTTATGATATAATAATAATTATGATCCCAGCTGATATTTCTCTCCGGGATGAAGACCAGATGGTCCCTTTGTCCTCCAGCAGGCTAAGCCTGTAACAGCATTACTGTAGAGATTGCATGGGATAACTGGAAAATTTATTCAAAAAGTTATAAGCCTAGTCTTATAAGCAGTAAAATAATGCCTAGTTCAGTCCAAATTGTAATTTTAAACAATTAAATTGACTTTAGTTTATTGTCAGCGGCTAATGCCTGATCAAACCTACCCTTGCTGATTAAACAAATTCAATTATTTTGGAGCAGTCCAACATTATAATCAAGCACGTGAGGAAAAAATGGTGTGAAATGACACCTTTTTAAAAAGAAAAAGACCCCATCAGACGTGGTTTGAGCAGTAATCTACCATGACAGGCTGGGGCCATAGAAAAACAAAACTATCAGAAACCTTGGCCAAGTGCACTTCCTATGAAAGGAAAAAAAACAAGAGTTCATGACAGCAGTAATAACATACTAGCATGTATTTTGTTTTTATTTTTAGCATTGATTGTGTAGTTCTCTAACATTTTCTTAGAGAGCCAGTTGCATTCCATTTATGAAGATTTGAAAAAGGCCACAGCCCACCGATTCAGTAATAAAAATGTTTTTATAGAACTATTTTTACAGTCAGACCTACTTGAATTACATATTTTTCTAAATTAATCTCTCGCATTTCTTATGTGTTTACATTATGCAGGCTGAGCTGAAAGATGAGGCAGAAAAGCCCAGTGAGTCTGCAGAGAAAAGCGACAAGGCGGAGACCACAGAAAAGGTGAAAAAGGAGGGAACAGAGGCCTCAGAGCATGAGCAAGAGAAAGACGAGGAAGGGGAGGCCAAGACAGCTTCAGCAGGTAACTGGGATCTATGAAAACATGGAAGAAGTCATTGGTTAAACACGCAACTAAACTGTAGGTGTTTATATTTAGCTCACTGCTTATAACTGTTCCTTTCAGATAAAGATAAGGATGAAGGTATGGACACCTCACCTTCAGAGCAGGAGAAAGATAAGGAGGAAAAGGCAGCCAGCGAGGAGGGAGACGAAAAGCAGAAGAAGCTGGAACACGACATTGGGGAGGGTAACATCGCCACAGCAGCCGCTGCTGCTCTGGCTTCTGCTGCCACCAAGGCCAAGGTGAGGCCTTAAACTTTAGCTGACTTCATTTGTTTCTACTGTGTTGGCCTGCAATATTTTTCTTTGTTTACTTTGATATTTATATGTTTATTTATTCTTTTCAGCACTTGGCAGCGGTTGAGGAAAGGAAAATTAAATCTCTGGTTGCCCTGTTGGTGGAAACTCAGATGAAGAAGTTGGAGATCAAGCTGAGGCACTTTGAAGAGCTTGAGACCATCATGGACCGAGAGAAAGAAGCTGTAAGTCAGGATGAAAAATTCCGCCTATTCCCTGGGGGGCGCGGTGGGGCCGGTGCTTATCTCCGGCAGTCTATGGGCGAGAGGCGGGGTACACCCTTGACAGGTTGCCAGACTGTCGCAGGACAAAACAAAGACATAAAATCATGCTCACACACTCACACATAAGGACAATTTAGAGATGCAAATCAACCTAACAGTCATGTTTTTGGACTGTGGGAGAAAGCTGTAGTACCAGTTCATGCAAACTGCATGCGGAAAGATCCGGGGCGGGAATTAAACCCGGAACCTTCTTGTCACAACAAGTCAACAGTGCTACAAATTACCTCACTGTGGAAAACATTTGGATGGAAAATGTAGTTTTGATCAAGATGAGCACATTTTCCAATTGAAAAGACATGAAGTATTTTTTAGCTAGTAAATGAGTTCATTTTGAAATCATGCCTACATTAAAGAGATACATTTCCAGGAATGGACATATATCATTTAGAATAAAGTCTTCCAAAGATAGTTTCCTCATAAATGCTTCTTGTAAGCAATGGAAGAGTTCGGTGTAGACAACTCTGAAAGAAAAAATGTAGCAAAAAAAACGTCGGCAGTTCCGTAACCATAACTTTTAAAGCCATATTGCACCACAATCCCAACAACCAGAGCCGTGCCTACTTCTAAAAGACTTACTTGTAAAAGGCTCTGAGGGAGTCTTTCCATGATCATATCGGTTGGATATATAAATAATCCCACCTAATTTTTGTAAACATGACGAATTATGTTGTCCTTGATCTGAATTTATTTTTTTTTTATCAAAATTATAAACATGGCTCAAATGTTATAGAAAGCTAAGTGAAATCCATGATACATGTTTATTTTCTCTGTTGTAAACAAAAACATTTAATGCATTGTGGATATTTTGTTTTCAGAATTCAGGTCCATCAGTGGCAAATGGATTAATGTATGCAATGAAAGCAGATGGGTATATGCAAGTCTTTAAAATGTGAAAAAGAAAAGGAGTCCAAAAAGTTATTAACACAATAGCCAACTAATGTTAAATGAAAAAAAATAAAATAAATAAAATCAAAATAAAATGTGAAACGGCAGAAAAAAAGAGGAAAAAAAGCCTTTGAAAACCCTAACCTATGACATGAATTGAGCTTTATGTTCGGAAAACTACAAGATAATATGCTGACATGTCTGCCTTCAAAAGATAAATGACTCTTAAAAGTCGAACAGTAGCTGTCTGTTTGTTAAGATCAGTCTATAATAAAAGAATTTTTTCTTTCTTTTTTGTTTTCCTGCTCTGCAAATTTTTAATAATGTATATGCGTCTGTTTTTTTTTTTTTTTTATTAAACATGGGTGTTGTTTTTTCCTCGTACAGTTGTTGCACTAAGATGGCTAGTAGTAGATTGACTAATAACTCTTGTCCACAATACCCGTCTGTCACGTTTTCTATATGACTTAGTTTTGTTGTTTTGATGGCGTAGCAGGAAATGGTGTCCATTAGCAGATGTTCTCACTTAATGAGTTTTTTTAAAGACACTGAAGCGGAAACAGAAGTTAAAAACAGTTTTCAAGTACAAAGCAGTTGTTTGGTGATGCATTTTGATGGTCTTGATGGGACAACTGACGGATTTAGGTTATGAGTTTCAATGCATGTTTCCTGGCGACGCTGGTGGGAATGGAAAACTGTGGCTTCATGGAGGCAGCATTTGGAGCGAAGCCCAGTTTCACATATGCAAACACTGCATGAAAAGAGCAGTTTGAAGACATTTTTGTAGAACTGGAGAGAACCCAAAACCTGAGCTGCAGCTATAAAACATCAGGGTTGTAAAGATGCACACAGAACAACAGAGAAACACAAGATTGTATTCCAGTCTGGGGCAGAAACTGGCAGCTCCAGTCTTTAAGGGCCGGTGTGTTGACCTAGTTAGAAATGTTCCTGCTCACGCACACTTTAATCAGATGATTACGAGGACTCTGGGAAAGCGGAGTAATAAGAATTTAATTCAGCCATTTTTTAAAGAGGCATTATGGAGTTTTCTCATGATGCTGCCACCTGTGGCCAAATCGTAGAACTGCAGCACTCATCAGCTTCTTCTTTTAGCCCAGACATATTTTAATTTTTTTCACCTGACATGGAGTTAATATTGATGTCTGAGTTGAGCTAAATGACGGTCGCTTCTTAGTATCCATAAAATCCATCTTGATTATAATGCTTCTATTTTTTGCTAGTTTGGAGCCATTTAACGTGGATGCTTTTGTCGTCACGTCTGCTGTGCTGCACGGGAACTTCCAACGCATTTAACAAAATAGACTACAAGTTTATAGAGGCATCAGTGATTAACTACAGAGGTGTCAGTCTGATCATCAAATGTTATTTTTTTTTAAGATGTAGGACACTCTAAGCCCTAAACTGAAGAAGAAAGAATGACAAAATAATCAATATTTGCTTTTCATTTTTCTATGAATTTAGCAACGAACAGATGTTCACTGGTTAGTGCAGGTTGTTTTCAAGTAGGGATGAATGATATCAGGAATACTGGTAGTAGAGATTATGATAGCCTCCAATTTCCCCACATATCTTCATTTTCATTCATCAAAATTTCTCCCATCACTCTTCCCCCTCGGTACCACTGGATGTGGAAGTGGTGCGTTCTTTTAAGGAATCCCAGATGCAACCGACGCTCGCTTTTTCTTTAAAGTATGCTGCTGTTCTCTTTTTGATTTTTAGAGATCGGCCTCAGATTGTAGGAGCCAAACTCATCATTCCATTTATAAAGAAATAAAATATTTCTGGCAGCTTATTAGATTTGTTAAGATCTCATTCTTATCAGAGGTCCTTATTAAACAAAATTATATGATTAAGAATTTGTCCTACATAGGAAGATGTGGCCTCATGGTTAGAGAACAACACATTTGTGTCCCAGGAACTCTCAAAATTTCCCCGTTTTTGTCCTACAGGCTGCTGCCCCGGGTCCCTGAGCAAGGCCTTTATTCCCACAGTGTTTCCTGTACTGTTTCCAGTACTCCCTAAGGGATGCGTTAATTGGAGCAGACAGATTTTATTGGAATGATCAAAGCTGAAATGTGATTTTGCTGGATGGAAAATGATGGTAAAAGATGGAGAGAAAGTAAACTCACAGAGCTCTCCTAATCCTCAACATAGTTTTAGCAGAAAATTAAATCTCATTTGCCCGTTTATTATCATAACATTTTATGCCTAGTTAGATGTGTCAGGTTTAGCCAACAGGGAAGAGAGAACCAAGATTTCTTGAAGAAAGGAGCCCTTTTGAATGTTTCATGGTCTTTTTTTAATGCAGCTGGAACTTCAGAGGCAGCAGCTCCTCACCGAGCGACAGGCCTTCCACATGGAGCAGCTGAAATATGCCGAGATGAAGGCAAGACAGCAGATGGAGCAGCAAGCTGCTGCTGCTGCAGCCGCTCAGGCACAAGGACAGGGCTCTGGATCAGGACCCCATCCTGCTGCCGGGCCCCACCCTGGTCCCCCTCCTCACAGCATGCACCATGGCGGGCCCCCACCCCACCACGTAGGGCCTCCTACCCCCCACCATGGAGGACCCCAGCAACCCCATGGAGGACCTCCCCCCCACCATGGAGGACCATCGCCGGGAGCTGCAATGCATCCAGGATTTCCCCCAATGGGCCATCATCCCATGGCCCCCCACCACCCAGGACAGACAGGCAAGAGATTAGATTAATGTTTAAAATAATCTAATGAACATATAAATGTAAAAAGGTTTTATTTATTTTTATTTTAAGCTTGGATAGAGCAATGCAGAACCTTTAAAGGAAGGAAATAATAAAATTGTAATGCTGTAAATCTCCCCTGCCAACTGCTTGTCTTCCTGTAGGACAAATGGAACCGGGCCAGCCGATGCCGGCACGTATGCTGTCCGGTCCGCCCTCTGCCGGCCCACCTGCAGGCGGCATGCCACCCATGATGCCCCCACGCCACCCCGGAGCCCCCAATGGCATGTGTACGTACTGATAACTAGGGCTGGGCGATATAGAAAAAAAGCTTATCGATAAAAAAAAAATGCATATTGATCGATATCGATAATTATTGAAAAGATTTGAAACCATATTTTATGTGCAGCTCTGCCTGGACTTTTTATAATATTGCTAAATGATTTAATTTTAATAAAAAACACAAACACAGACTTCGAATTAAATCTTTATTTAACCAACTTTTTTAACCATAACAGAATTGTTTTAAAGAAAAATAACTTAAGAGACCTGAGTTATGTTATTAAATACTGACAAAGAATAAACTAAAGTGACCAGAAAAGTGACCAAAATAAATATAACAAATAAATAAATGCCCCCCCACCGCCGCCGCCCCCGTTTCCTGCTTTAACCTGAGTTATTACTTTGAAGTTTCTGGCCCCTCAGCATTTTTATCTCAATTGTTAGAACTACGTGGGAAACTGCCCAGAACTGAAAATATATATATTTTTTCCGAAGATTCCTCGGAGGAGAGCCGCGTGGGGCCTACACAGCTCGTACTCCTGCGGCTGTGATGATAAAAAAAAAAAAAAAAGTTGGTTGTGTTATCAGACTTTGTTTTCACTGGTTCCCGACACATTTTCCAGATGACTGTGGTTTGTTTTTGGTCCCACTTGCCATGACCGAAATACTGCCAGACTGCCGAATTACAAAAACCCTTCTTTGGAACAATTTCCTCCGCCTCTCCTTGCTACATCTTCATGTGCTCTGTGTTGTGGTTTGAGAGGGCGACGCTTTGTGACGGCGTGCCTGGGTCCGTGATTGTGATTGGTTGGAAGGAAGCAGTGACTAGCATAAACGTACATGCTAGGCTACAATGAGAAGGAAGGAAAACTGCGTTTCTTTTTTATCGAACTTTTATCGACCCTCTTTTTTTCTATTGCGCCACACGTCTATCGATCGATATATATCGTTATTGAATTATCGCCCAGCCCTACTGATAACCATTCTCTTATTCTGATGCTATTGCAGAGTTCTGGAAAAATGCTTTTGGACTCGAACCATTTTTATTCTTTTTCTTTGCCTTTGTTTGATGAAATACTTAAACCATTTGTTTATAGGTTATTGAGTTACACATACCACACCTTTAAAGACATACTGGAGTATATTCTAGTTGTTTCAGTAGAACCTCAAATCTGTACATTAGCTGCCTCTGTAAAGGTAAAGTGACATCTCACAGATTGTTTTAAACTAGCATGTTTCTGTCTGCAGATCCTGGCCCGCCACCTGCACAGCCTGAGGCCATGCCTGTGGCTCCTGTTGCTCCTCCCGCGCCTCCAACTGGACGAGTGTCTGAAAACTAAGACAAACAAACAGAAGAAGCACACGTGCATAAAGCTAAAACTCTGTCTCTGACCTTTGCTTGTCGCTAAGTTTTTCTCCCTCACATTCAAGCAACCATAAACTTTCTCCCTCAGACACACAGTCCCACAGTCTGGGCTCCTTGGCAAAAAGGGCACAGGGCACAGCGGCGAGGTTCATCTAGTAATAAACACTGTTTTACACTCTGAGCAAAAGCGAGGCTGGAGACAACGATCCTGTGAATAGAAAAACCAAACAAGGAGACAGAAAATATTTTTGAAAAATCCTCCTTCTCTGATGATTATTTTCTTTCTTCTAATGACACTGTAACCCTTTCCAGAGTAACAAAGGAAACAGGAAAAAAAAAACTCACCTGTAGCCCTCTTTTTCCATAAAACATAAATCCTAGTAAAGGGTGCTTGTAAGAACTGGCATCCAGTCTGTGTGCCGAGTAGCCTGAGCTGTGAGATGTGAGGCAGTCACACGATTCAGAGGATGCTGTGATTAAAAATCCAATGGATCCATCCCACCCTCACTCCTGCTGAGTACCTACCTCTCGCTCCTCTTTTAATGATACACTGTAGCTCTGTCTGTGAAGACAGAGGGAGGTTTGACTGTAGTCTGTAGTTACAGAAACTAAAAATATAAAAAGTTACCTGTAAATTAATTGCCTTCAGGCAAAACCCTGATAGGTCAAACGTTGCTGGAAAGACTGTTATGTTTCTTATCAGGTGTGTCCAACATTCTTTAACCCAAGCAAAGCCTGTAGATGTAACAAGCTGGCCCTAAATCACTTCGTGTTCCAAATTAAAGGAAATGTCAGAAATTGATGCAATAATTTTTGAGATGCATCAGTGTCTGCAAAGTTTCCTCGATAATTTTTTTTCATGAGGTAAGGTGGCAGCGTTCTTCCTTTTAAGTTAAAGGAAAACCTGCATCGCTGCTCTGACCTTTCGAGAAAAATTTCACAAATTTGGTCATTGAGTTAATTGAATTTATGGTTCAGTTTTTAAGCTAATCCAAGTTGCATAAATGACCTCATGTAGGGTTAAATTCAACTAGCAGCATTAACACTATTTAAATTTAAAGAACTTAGAGCAAACAACTGAAATGATTGTTTTTCCGTTTCCTTAAATATAAGATTTCATGTTTGAGACCGGATTAGGCAACCAAAGGATTGGCAGATGGTAAACATTCCTCCCTCTGTCTCAGCATCCAGAGCGCTGCAACACACACACAGAAATGTAAGCTAAGCTCAGGCAAACACTGGAGGCTGCATGCACACACACATCCTGGTTAAACCTGGCACTGACCCTCACACACACGTCAATCCTCTGATGACCTTTACACAGTGAGAGACGCTGCGTTTCTGCTCGAACGAGACCGAGCTCTTCCTCAGCTCTGCGGGAGTTCCGTTCGCTCTTTAGGTGCTGATACTGTAGCTATCAACTCCCTCTTCCTCACTTTCCTCACGCCTAGCGCTGCCTACCTCGCAAACACATCTTTTTCTCACTTCTTGCTTTCCGAACACAAATCTTTGAAAAACTGCAATATTCTTTAGCTTCTTTAGTCTAACCTTACTGTGGAATTGATGGTGAACTATCACACAAAATAATGCATTGATTATTCAAATTATCTTTTAAAATGATGCATTATTAGCATCTCTTTTTTTGGCTGAAAACTATTGTTGAAATGTGACAAAGCTTTTCGATTTTTACGGCTTTAATTCACCAAAAAACTGATGGATTTTAACAGGAGTTTGTCTTTCTAATTTTTCCTGACAGCCATTACTGCTGTTTTTGTTTGAACCTGGTCTCAGTTATCAATATTTAAGCCTGTTTGATCTGGCAGGTTAATGTTTCCTGCTTCAATATGTCCAAACAAGTAACCTAACTCCTAAACGGTACCTTAAATAAGAACTGTCCCTTCTTTTAGCACTGTAAGTATCTGCTACCTCTTCCTTATTCATCTGCTAGCTACCTCTTGTAGAAATCTTGCTCTCTGCTACCTCTCACACCCTTTAGCTACCTCTGGTTAGCCTTTTCTTTTCATTTGAGTCTGTTTTTGAGTGCTGCCCACATGACTGCTGTCATCGCTGCCCTCTTCTCCCAGGCTGCAGGAAGAAGAAACACAAAGTCGTTCTCTCGCGCTCTCATTCACCGTGCCCTCTTCGTTTTTCTTTTGCTCTCTTGTATGTTAACATCTAACTAGGTGTGTGGTTTATCTTCACTTAAACATGACATGATTCTCTGCTTACATATATTATCTTTCATGGAAGCTTTTTGTGTTGATGGTAATGTATTTTTAAGGAGAAGTTTTGTGTAGATGGAAGTTTTCTCTGTTTGTAGCATTTGTTTTTGTTTTCTTTTTTATTTTGTATGAGGTCTGTTGGTACTTGGACCTAGACACTGTCAAATAAACTGTGTTTTCTAATAGCTGTTTTGTTTGTTGTTTTTTTTTCCTCATCACTTTCAAAAAACAGTACAAACCCAATATTTTTAGAAAGACTTCCCAACTATTTTAAACAGAATATTTACTTAATTCCTCAGTGGTTTATTATTCAGCGTTGATTAGACAAATTAGTCGTTTCCTCTCAAAGAAAGCAACCAGCTGCATTCAATAATATCCAATGGCAGGTTTAGATAAAAAGTGGTATAATAGATTCATTCTGTGGCGTTTAAGAATCGTTAATATGTTTCCTTCCATTGTGTTTGTTTTTATCACAGAACTGTTGATCCACAAAGACAAGGTGGATTATCTGGTTTGCTATTGTGTTAGGATTAGGGGCAATGCTATGAAACATCTGCACATGAGCTATTTACATTATGTGATATATGGTTAAGGCTTATCCAGCAATTGTAAAGACAAACTTAGATTAGATTTCCTCAGACTGAGTTAAGCCATCTTCAGTATGTAGCTGAGATCCATTATTATATCAGGTGTGATGTTTATAATATCAAGGCAGGATGCAAAACGAAATGTTAAAGGGGTAAATGCTGCTGGATATCATTTGAAATGAGGTTTTAAAATTTGTTAAAAAAAAATGCATAATGACTGATGAGCATGTATGCATAGAAAATGTCAAAGATGCCTTATGATCTCCTCTTTTTATTGAGTTGAAAAAACAATCTAAATTAGTCTGTGTGGAAATTTGCTTGTACTGTTTTTTTTTTTTTGTTTTTTTTAATGCATAAAACTGCCTGTAGCATCTGTGGGAACACACAAAGAATAAGTGAGTCCTGATGCCGTTTCAAACCTAATCCGAACCGCCTGGTAATGTAATCTGGTGGGGGCGGATTTCAGCTTCCAGCAGATTGAGCATGAGTTTGTTATTGAGTTGGATGAAGAGCCGGAGACAGATTACTCACCCAGATGGGAGGGTAGAAAGAGGCTGGTACCTCTTGAACTTAAAAAGGGCATCTGAAATGATGGGCATCCCCCATTCAGATGGGTGGCAGGATGTAGAACAGCTGCTAAAGTAACTGTAGGTTCCTAAACATTTTAAAATACTATGTATACTACATTAAAGTGTAAATTCAGGTCTTTTGCGATCTGCACACCGTGAAACCTGAAGTCCTATAGCCTCTACTGTGGCTATGGAGGCGTGCTCATGACATGACCTCCACAGGTTTATCACTATCTTTTTTTTAATATATATATATATCCTTACTTAGCAAATTTATGCTGCACCAACCAATGTCCAACTTTTTCTCTGGACTTTAATCCCTTGTTTTTACTGTTGAGGTCAACTGTTGTGTCATCTATGAACTTGAGGTTTTGTCGCCCATGTCTGGCTGCTCAGCTCTGCTTTAGAAGTGTAAACAATAAACTGAGCTCACAGCCCTAGATAAACACAGTACTCTGTGTGATGGAGTGGGAAGTTTTTTTGTTAGTTTTTTTTTAAACCAGGACAGACTAAGGTCTGTCTAAAAAAATCCAATGTCCCAGAGATGGCAAAAGACAAAAAAAAAAAAAACTTTAAGCCTAATCATTAGATAATTAATAAGCACAATAACAGATACACGCTGACATTGACATCAATATGGCATTGGCTGCACTAATGTACTGAACCTTTTCAAGGCAGTAAATACTCTGCATTTTGCTGCAGCCTGTTGAGAATATCTGACAAAGGTTTGATTTCACTTCATGACCCAAACACTTGTATATTGACCTTTAACTGACACTGCAGCCTATTTTCTAGCATGATAAAATACTGCTGATGAAGGAAAGTCAGTTTTTCTTATTTCATAGGTTTCCTCTCCCCTCTCAACAAATTTAACACTGCTGAAAAACTGCATCTATGTTAAAAACAAAAAACAAAAAAACATTCAGTTCTTTATGTTTTGGATGAAGTTTTTTTTGACATAAAATCTCTTAAACTGAGTAGCAACGATATCTTTATCTTAATCAAGACATGTTTCACACCAAACGGCTGAAGGTGGAGATTTCTCCAAATATCCTCACTGTTAACTGCGGAAATGAAATCACTGATTTTATATTAGATTTTCTTGCTTCTTATCAATAATTCTGTCATTATTTGGTCAAATACATTTATTTCATGTATTAAGGAATTTAAAATAAATTCAAGAAGGGTGTAAAGTATCAAAAGATATGGAGGAGAGGCACTGTGTATCTGAGGTTCACTTAGCCTTTTTCCCATAGATCATTGGAGACGATCACCTGCCTACCGTGATCCTGACCAACAAGCTGCCGAATATGAGCTGAAAGCACTGGAAGTGTTGACAGATAAAATCCACAAAAAGACGGTTGAGTACTGATGTGCGAAGGTTATGACTTGTGGCAGATTCATTGCGCATACGTGAGGCCAGAGGGAGAAGAAACGTTAATTATGAAACATTTTTAGAGGAATGTTTTATATTTAATGTGCCACATGTGTGATCAAGGTTCTTTACTTTTTAGGAACCAGCTTAAAATGTCCCAGAGATTATCTGGCTGTCCCTGAATAATGTGAAAAATAAATGTCATCATGACATAGTAGATAGT